GTTCCTTGGTTTTGGAGCTTTAGGGTCATGGTTTCATGGGAAATCCCAGTTAATGGGCCTAATAATGTTTTTAGTGTTCTGTTCTACCTCCTAGTTCGTTGCAGAGTGCCTGGGGTCTTAAAAGCTTGCAAGTGGTCATCCAAGACAGGGCAATTGGTCTCTATTCACCTGGAGCAACAGAGAAAGAAGAGTCAGGAATAGGAGGAGGAAATGGAATGTGTGGCTAACTTCCTCCATGAACAACTGCCTCCTTGGCCATGAGACCAGAAGAATTAGATGGTGCCTGGCTACCAGTACAAAACATTTGATCAAAGATTCTATAGAAGAATCATTATCAAAAGGGGGAAAATGCAGAATAGAATTTCAAATTCTCATGGACTCCAGACTTTCTGGAGCCATGGAGCTGGGTGAACCCCTGAAACTATACAAAAATATCCCCTGAAGTCTTCATAAAACCAAATAATATTTTATATTAACTAGTAAAAAATGCCTGCCTTGAAAATTAAACTCTTTTAAGAATTATCTATATGGGATTGAAGTGACAACAGCATCTTGAAAGCTTAGATAGGAACTTTATAGGACAGTTAGTTTATGTCAATGACAGAGGAACAACTCAGAAAATGAGGATGAGGATGGTTGCACAATTCAAAGAATGTAATCAATGTCTCCAAATTGTACACGCAGAAATCGTTGAATAGGTGTGTGTTTTGATGTTTATATTCTCAACAAGAGCAAAAAAAACTTTTTTAAAAAAGAGAGGTAGAAAAAATGGCAAAATATTAATAATATTTATCTTCAGGTGGTAGGATTAATGAGTGATTTTTACTCACTTTACATTTTTGCAGTTTCCTAAATTTCTTCAAAGCTATTTGTATCATAAAAAAATCATTGTAGCTTTTAAAGGGCCTGGATTTTGGATTAAGTCAAATTTAGTCATTGACTTAATGAATGGAATTCTGAAATCCTTCATAGAGAATTCATACCTTTGTCATAAAAAAAGAATTCAAGCCCTCTAGAGTATCATCTCTATGCTAAGTATATGTTGGTAGATATACGGATATTACCTGGATTTTAAAAAGTAAGAGATTTTCTTTATATCAGACTCTAAAACATGCCCTCCATCAAGATATAGACTACAAAATGAAAGAAATAAATGGAGCAAATGTAATTACTTACAGTTTTTTTTTTTTTTTTTTTTTTTAAGCAAGCTGGAGAACATTCCATATAAATAAAAAAGAATTTCCTGGAAGAATACAGAGGCAGCATTAGTACAAGGGTAAGACCCAAGGTTCACGTCTCAGCTTGGCAACTTTCTAACTCTGTGACACTGGGGAAGTTTCTTAACTTCTCAGTGCCTTAGTTTCCTCCTCAGGAAAATTGGGATAATAATGTCTACTTCATAGGATTGTTATGATAATTACATATGTCAGGATTTATAAAGTGCATAGAATAGTGCCAAGCATGTGGTAAGTACTGTGAGAGATTTTGTTGAATAAAAAATTACACAAGTATAAAAACATAATTCGTACTAGAACTAATTCAACTTCGTATTTTGAGTGTCAAACCCACTTAGCAATCACAAAAAGTATAAGTTTAATTTCCCCAAACAAATAAATAAAACAAATTGGAAAGACAGATAATGATATAAAAGTTTACTTTTCTCAGAGCTAGCTTCACATCCTTGTTTCTCAAGGTGTAAATCAAAGGATTAAGGGAAGGGGTAACAATATTATTCGACACCTGAACCACAGTATCCAGCCACAGGCTGGAAACAGGCCAGAGATAAATGAGCACCACAGGGCCATAGAAGAGCAGGATGGAGGTCAGGTGGGCACTGCAGGTTGAGAAGGCTCTGCGCCTGCCTTCTGATGAGCTGATTTTCAATATGAAGATAAAAATGTGAGTATAAGAAGTGAGGATAAGAAGGAAACACATGAGAGCAACAACACCTACATTGGTGAAACTCACCATCTGAGCCAGAGAGGTGTCAGCCCAGGCTAGAGACAGCA